GCCACTCACCACTTTCCACGTCAACCATTACCTGCCCGCCAACGAATATTTAACCGTCAAAGTAACCAAAATTACGAACCAAACCAACCCCCAACCCAACCCAACCCCCAAAACGCAGGTTTTTCGTTGGGGCGTCGTTTGACGTTAACGTTGTCGTCGTTCCACAATTTCCTCCCAAGCACATGATATATGCGCACAAATCCAGGAATACCCCTTCGCTTCCTGCTAGTGTGCGCCCTCGTTGCCTTGCGTGCGCCGGTCGCGCACCCTCCTATCGTGCGCACTCCCTCCCCCCATCTTCCAAACCCTCCCCTCGAGACGCAGATCCCCACAACCACCCAAACCACTCCTCGCCAGATCTCGGCTTCGAGCAATCCCACCGCCGCGGCCGCAGCAGCAGAAGCCATGTCCAAAGCTCGCGTCTACACCGACGTCAATGTCCTCCGCCCTAAGGAGTACTGGGATTACGAGTCCCTCACCGTCCAGTGGGGGTAACCATTTTCACCTCCCTAATTTGTTTAATTTTTTCTCTAATTTTATTGATTTTTCTCGATTATTCAATCCAATTGAAATTGCTGATTTATGATTTGGATTTCTGTAAGCTTGTAGTAGAGTTAAGATACAAAGCAATAGTAAGCTGATTAAGATTAATATAGAATTAATTAGGGATTTAATTGTGTATTTACTGTGCTATCTGCGGCAATGATGGGTGCCCTACCCTACCCCCTTCCTTTTCAATTTTAATTTCTAAAAGTTACAACTTTTTGTGGGGTTTTTTTGGTTTCCAGTGATCAAGATGATTATGAAGTTGTTCGGAAAGTCGGAAGGGGGAAGTACAGCGAGGTTTTCGAAGGTATAAATGTCAATACCAACGAGCGCTGTATAATCAAGATCCTCAAGCCTGTTAAGAAAAAAAAGGTAAAGTAATTGCCTTTTAGGAAATTTGGAGATTAGGGTTTTCGGTTCTGATGTTTTGTTCGAATCAGTTGCCAATAACCCCATTCCGCACTTTTTAATATGCATTTGTAGTAAGTGCATAATGGCAACATTAGAACACCTTGTTGTTGTCTTTTGTGCAGATTAAGAGAGAGATCAAAATTCTCCAGAACCTTTGTGGGGGCCCGAATGTTGTCAAGCTTCTTGACATTGTTCGAGATCAGCACTCGAAAACCCCAAGCCTGATATTTGAGTTTGTGAACAGTACAGATTTTAAAGTTTTGTACCCCACGCTGACTGATTATGACATACGCTACTACATATATGAGCTTCTCAAGGTAAACATTGTAACTTGCTTGTGCTCCTTCCCTTCTTCCCCAGCTCATTTGGTAGGGCGATGAGTAGATACTAGATAGGAATTAGTCATGTTCAATCTTTGTTTTTTCTGCTGGTCCACAATGGTGCACTTTGTTGAATGAGAGGAGAGTTGAATTTAGCAACGAGAGATTATGCTGTTTCCACAGATAATTGTTCTAACTTTTCTAGAAATTGTATAAATGTGTTGTTTCTTAAATTTTGCATTCCTTCTTGAATGGTTGTTGCTTTCTCTCAGGAAGGAGGAATTTAATCACTTGAGAGATGACTGATTCAAATTTAGGGAATTAGTTGATAATATGTTTGTAAATTGTTGGATTGAAGTCATAGGACCTTTACAAGACATAGATATGTATAATTTTTATGAGAAGAAAAGGAAGGAAAACAAAAACATGGATCTCAAATGATTCATTATTTGTAGTAATTTAAATTACCTTCCATCTAATGTATCTGTAGCCTTAGCTTTTAATCTTATGGACCTTAAAATGCTTTGTGGCTGTTCCAAGTTACTCAGGGTTTTAATTTCAGTCCATGTAAAGGTTTGCATAATGACTACTATGCCACTTGAGATCTTGTGTTATCAGAAGCTAAAAGGTTTTGTTAGCTATGTTGACGTAGTTTGGCTATTTTTTGTATGCTTTTGTTTTTAATGATGGTATGTTAACTTGTAAGAAATGTTTCACACTCTCCTTCAACAATATGCAATTTAATGTCAATCTACCTTAGTTGCCTTAGTCCAAAGCATTGCTATCAACTTTTCTATGTGTTCTGGATGTTAAGAATGCTGGATCAACATCTGTTTCTGGATCTGTTTTAAGTACTTGTGAATTTAATTTCCAAGTAGTGTTTAATTGTGCCTTTTCACAAGTTAATTATCTTTACGTTGCAGGCATTAGATTACTGCCATTCACAAGGAATAATGCATAGAGATGTGAAGCCTCACAATGTTATGATAGACCATGAATTGCGAAAACTTCGCTTGATAGACTGGGGTCTTGCTGAATTCTACCATCCTGGCAAAGAATATAATGTCCGTGTAGCATCAAGGTAATAATTTACAGCAATATAGGACCAATGCGTATTCTTGATAGTGGTCCCCTTTAAAGAGCATGCATGTTAATGAATGAACATTGAAACAGGAGTTGTTCGAGCGGGCGAATATATCGCCTAAATTAGTACTGATCAGTTTAGGTGGCTAGGATGAAAATTATCTTAATTAGGTTCTTTTTTTTTTCAAAATACCATATTGGCACTACATTTGAACATTGTGTGCATGCTTATTGGCATCTGCAGTTAGAGGGTAGTCAAATGCTTAAAATAATTTCCAGAATTTTAAGGCTAGAGTAGAAAATCTCTTTAATGGTTTTAGCATTGTGAGGGTTCCTTTGAGTTCCTTGCAACCTTCAGTTTGTATATTCATCTTTATGGAATAACTGAAATGTCTTTCCTTGGTTTTTTTCTAGATACTTTAAGGGCCCTGAACTTCTAGTCGACCTGCAAGATTATGACTATTCTTTGGACATGTGGAGCCTTGGTTGTATGTTTGCTGGAATGGTAAGAATTACAGTTACTGTATTCTGGTGTTAGTTACTTTTAACTCCAGTTTTAGAATGTGCTAGTGTTTCAAAAAGCATATAATCTTTGTTGATTGCTCATTATACTTGTTTTGTGGTGTAGATATTTCGCAAGGAACCTTTCTTTTATGGTCATGACAACCATGATCAGCTGGTAAAAATTGCCAAGGTAATGTCGGTACTTCATTGGTGGTTGGCATGACTTATTCTGTATGCATGATATAGTTCCTGGTAAAGTTCCTGCAAAGAATCAAATTAGTGGTTTCTGTTTATAGTACACAACGACGTGTGTTATAGAACTTAAAGCAGCTTTACATCAATAGGCAGGGACATGCCCCAACTCACATACATGCACATATGGCCTAATGACTTAGTATATACATATATATGGTCTAAACAGTATCTGGTGTAATGTTTGTGTTAACGGATTATGGTATTTCATATGCATTTCCAGGTTCTAGGGACTGATGAGCTGAATGCATATCTGAACAAGTATCATTTAGAGCTTGATCCTCAACTTGATGCACTGGTCGGGAGGTATGTTCAGCATAAATGCTGTAATAAGTTTTGTCAGTTGTCTGTAAACCAGTATTCTTAAGTTTTGTCAATTCTCTGCAAACCAGTAATAGGTCAATTTTGTTATAATGTGAAATTCTGTGGAAATATCTTAGCATGCCACTGCCGTGGTTTCATCTTCCACGTGGAAGTAATGCAGTTTAACTTATCAAACAAAATAAAAAGGCGTTGCTGTTAAAAATGCATTTGAAATCGTGCCATAACAAATAACGTGGAATTAGTATCTCTATATGTATATTGATGCGTTGCTACACTACTGCAGGCACAGCAGGAAGCCCTTGTCTAAGTTTATTAATGCAGATAATCAGCACCTAGTTTCTCCAGAGGTCACCGTTTCTTGATTATTTACACTAATTTAGTTATTATCTGTCACTCAACTCCTACAATCGTCATTGATTTTTCAAAGGTGTTTGACATGCAGGCCATTGATTTTCTTGATAAACTTCTCCGGTATGATCATCAAGACAGATTAACTGCAAAAGAGGCAATGGTAAGTCTGCACGAGCTCACATAATATAGCATTTAGTTGTCTTGTAGTCAGGCTGAACAATGGTGACACCCGGTTCTTTCCTCGTTTTCTTTTCCTTTTTACCAACATCAGTTAATCACCGACTTTTATTTAATACGAGCTCTGTTCTATGCTTAAATGTCTTTTGGCGATAACTCTGCAGGGCCATCCGTATTTCTCTCAGGTGAGGGCAGCAGAAAGCAGCAGGATGCGGACGTAATTGGTCGATTACATAAACTAGAGGTCCATGCTATATATGCTATTTGAAATGGGGAGTGTATTATTTATCCGAAAATCATCACTGCGGTTTGCCATTGTCAATTGTTGTATGTTGGAGACTGATTGTATGTTTTCATGGTCGTTTAAACAAGTTTTCTTTCTTTTAATATTTCTGCTTAATTCTATAAACCAAATTGAACCAATGTGTCACAACCAGGATCCTTGATTCGGATTTGGATTCCATCCGGATCCTTAGATCATCATATATCTGTTTATCGTACATTATGCGGTTAAAAATTATTTTGAAATTTTATCTAAAATTAAACACAAAATGTACTTGTCAAAAAACTAACCGCGCAATGGACAATGAACGAATAAGATGTAAGGATTTTTAAGATCCTCATCCCTTCTATTCAATATTGACACAAAATTTTGACGCCGGTTGTAAATCTCTGGCCCGTTTGGTTCATAGATTAGAAGTTTCAGAATGGGAAGTGATCTTCCGGCTCACCTTTTCTCCTCTTCTAAGCCATTGTCTATTTTTGGTCTTTGAACATTGTGCAAATGGAGAAAAATATGTGAAGGTATAACATGCGTTCGTTCCGGGTTTGGTGAAGCACATTCCATACAATGGATGATATTTGGAAGATGAAACGAACATTAATACCCAATACCGCACAAACCAAACAATGGAATGGCAATAGTGTTTTCCCGCAACCAGTCTTCCCATTCCCGGCAAAATTCGCAAAAGGGGTTCTTCGCAGAACGGCAAACAAAACTGAGTTTTTCTGTTAACCAAATAAGAAACTTAACAGAACCTTCGACACACAAATTAATTACCAAAGAGGCAAGGTTTGGTGTGAATTTGCCTGACAAACAGCAGTTCCACAAACTCAACACTCAACCCGTATAGACAACACAACGCCGTGAACCAAGGTTCCATGAAACACACTCTTTTCAAGAGTTACACCAACATTCACAATCATATAAGACCGAGTTTCGTTTCAACAAGGAGATACATCTCTTTCTTTTCTCCCTCACTCACACACATCACATACACACAAAAACAACTCCACAAGCAGTATTAAATAGCTATCGCTCTAGAAGAACTCAGTAAATTCATTCCAGGCTTTACTATAGAGGGCCACAACGTTCACAATTTGTCCCTGCGACTTCTTACCAAATGTTCTTTCATTTCTTGAGATGAGGGAAACAAGCGTAGACATCAGACTTGGGATGCTTTGCCTCAGCATGCTCCCTGCATTTCACTTCCGATGTGGTGCACATAAATGCTTGCATACACACCTTACACTGCATTCAACATATAATCATCGTCATATTAAACCAGATGAAGGAGAAAATGCACTAGCTTGCCTGAGGAACAATTAGATTTGATTACATTGGAAACTCACATATATCGATCAACCAGGCCTTCATCAAAACCTATCCAACTATCGACATTATACAATAGCATACTCTTGAGACCGCTGCATAAGCGAATTGATGGCACAGACTTTATTTGTGACTGAAACACAATCCTCCCACCCCCCAAAAGAAAATCTCTCGGGGTTGAAACTAAAAGACTCTTGTAAACTATATGCAAAGTCATCTCAGCCAAAATACGATAATCACTATCACCTCAAACTTTCGACAAAATAGCTGAATTTATCATTCTACCGGTAAAACAAGGAGCCGATTTGATCACAAAGTACCCCAAAACAAAGAAGAAAAATTAACGCACGGCATTGGAAGGCACAAATTTAACACTCTCTGAAAACCCAGTTCCAATCACATTCCATTTAAACAAATAAGAATGAAAATATTTATTCCGAACCATCGCAACTAGTATCGAAGCACTTAATAAACGATTTTATGGATTAACCATGATGCAAATCATCACCAATTAGTTGAAGTAATTACCTGGATTGACATGGCTTTCTCGTTTGTTTTAAGCTGACTTCCTGTTCAAATCAAACAATTAACCCAAATTAATATTCGTATTAGACCAACAACTAGATCTAACCACAACCCCCAATACGAGCTATTAAACATAAAAGTTTAATTTCTTTTTCCTTGTAATTTCTCACAGACGGACAATTTTTCAGTGAAATTTTACGCGCAATAATCCCCAAAAGAAGCTTGCAAGCAACTAAAACCTAACTCGAATTACAAAGTTTGTAATTTTCATTTTCTAGATTTCTTTATCATATGAAAAGCGTAATTTTTGTTTGTGAAAATAAAGTTATAATAATAATAAAATAAAATAAATAAAAAGAGAGGATGAAATATTTACCCTTGCCGGCAGCTTTCTGCTTCTCCAAGTTCTTCTCGCGGGCCATCTTGGCCTTCTGACCGTTGCCTCCTCCCATAGCGTCTGGTAAATCGAGAGAAAAGGATGAGGAGCTAGAAACCCTAATTGGGCAATTGAGCTCTGTGCCTCTTAGGCGGAAAGTGGGAGGCGAATAGGTCAAGTTTATATCTTTAGAAACTTCTGGATGAGTTTCCTTGTGTCATGGTATTGATTGCTAATTAGGTAAAGTGGCGAATGAATCTATAATTACCGTGACACCAATGTTACGTGACCCACACGGTCTTAATGGAGTCCAGGCTTGTGGGCCCAATGCCAGTTCAAAGCCACACCGACCGGCTTCGTTAGTTTGGTCTAATTCAGGTAAATTTAGTTTTTTAAATCGATATTATTAATATAATTTTTATGAATAGAATTATTAATTAGAGATGTTATTGGGTGAATTTAAAGTAGAATCTTAATAAGTTTGAAAATACACTCCTTGTAAGTTTGTATTATTTGTAAGTCAAGAAAATTCATTATAATTAATATAAATAACAATATAAGGCTATGGGGCGAGAACATTATAAATGCTAGGTACTTTTTCAACCCACAAAATGGTGCAGGTCAAGAAAAAGGCTACAAAATTATGGGTTTTTTTTAATTTTAATGTTTATGTGGGATTAAATTGACACGTGACTCTTAATACAAGTTAATAAATGTTCTCATAAAAAAACCTATTAAATATACAAAAAGTGTTCTATAATTCTCACTTTATGTATGACGTTAGGATGGAAAAAAACTTGATCTTTAAAAGTTTGAAAACTACGATATTGAAGAGTTAGAAAATGAGAATTACCAGATCGGTACATTTTGAAAAATGACTTTAAATTTTGGGGTGGAAATGTAATTAAAAAGAAAAAAGAAAAAAAAGAAAAAAGGGGACAATCCGTCATGATCCATGAACAGAAGAGTCTGCGTATTGCGCGGTAATTACCTTCAGTTGAACTGTTGCAGTGCCGACGGATAACCGAACTTCCTCCCGAAACGACGACGCATCCAGCTTCGTCTACAGTTGTACTACTGAGAGTCACAGGACCAATCCGCACCAATGCCTCCAATCTCCGAGATCCGAAGCTTCTCGCTCTGATCGATTCGAAGAAGCTCCGAATCGGAATCAATGGCGGTGGTGATTGAGAGCTCCGTTTGGGAACCGAATCCCGGCGTAAACATATTCATCTTCCTGGCCTCACTCTTCTCCATCCTCGTCTTCCATTACGCTTCCAGCAGCAGCGGCGGCGGCAGCTCTGGCAAAGCTCCGTCGCTCTTCGACCATGGAATCTCCCCCACCGCTTCCTCTCTTCGCTTCCAGCGCAACTTCCTTCTCATCTATTCTCTCGCCTCAGGTCCGTACTCCTAACGACGTCGTTTATTATTCCCTTCCACTTCCAGATAGATCCTCTGTTTCGTAATTTAAGTTTGAATTTAGCTTGTTTGGTTGCCGAGAAAATTGAACTCAACTTACTTAGAAAAGCTTCATCTTTAGATTTTTAAACCAAAAATCGCATTTTGATTAGTAATTTAGCTATTAAATTGCAATCAATGATCGGATAATTTTTCACTCTATGATGCCAGTGATGGAAGGAGTGTGGTCTGTATTTGGCGAGTTCGAATTAGCTTACTACGGTTTCAGCAGGGAGCAAATGATGTTTTCTCTCTGTGTTGGATTTGCTGCGTCTCTGTGTGTTGGTTCTTTATTAGGCGTGCTTTCGGATTTAATGTGAGTGTCAATTTTTAGCTAAAATTTCAGTCTTGTTTCTTGCTTGGTACTCAAATGCTTGATGTTAAACCCTTATCAATTTCCGATTGTTGTTTTTCGTACTTTGTGTAGTGGTCCAAAGAAAGTTTGCATCCTCTTTTGCATTCTACACCTTTTTGTCGGCTTGTGGAAGAGAATTACTGATCATCCGAGCATTTTGGTGGCGAGAATTTGTTTGTCACTTGCAGCTTCGAGTTTTTCGTTCAGTTTTGAGACGTGGATGGTAGTTCAACATGAAGAGGTTGTTAAGAAATGTCGTATTTCACATTTGATTTGTGTGTAGAAATTATTCTAGGAAACGAAGTGATTAATATATAGGCTTTGTGTTTGCAGCAAGGGCATAGGCAAGATATGTTGAGTGAGACGTTTTGGTTAATGAGTTTCTTTGAGTCCGCGTCTCTTATTGGAAGCCAGGTGCTTTCAAATTGGCTCATTGGTGATAATTTGGAGAAAAACATGGCTTCACATTCTACTGCAGCCATCTTCTTGGCAATGATAGGCTTAGTCTGCCTCCTCAGAGGATGGACACAAACCCCACAAAATGTAGCTCTTAAGGAGTATAGAGCGTCTTTCTCTGCATATATTTTTGGTGGTAAGTGTTGCATTTTGTATATAAATGTATGTCTACTTTCCTTCTTAATATACTCAAAACAAATTATACCGCTTCAATACATTCGTTATCAAAATTAATCAGTTATTAAATGAGCTTGATTGAGATTGAATATCTAATCATTTATGATTTGTCAAAGTTAGATGCTTGCCTCCATTCATGAGGACCAAATGCTGATTTGCTTGCACTTTATTTCGTTGTTTACATTTTCCTCCATTGATACTCAGCTCTCTATGCTTGCCCCTCCATTGATACTCGTTGTTTATGTTTCACCATTTCTTTACCGTCTTAAAGAGTTAAGTCACTGATGTGATGCCATCTTTTCTCTGATAGGATGAGTGCTTGTAGAGCATTTTCACACTTTGTATGTGAAACTTTTGTTTTATAAAGGTCCCCGTTTCTCATGACTGATTATTTACTGGTTAGAGGTTTGATTATGTGATGTGTTATCATATGAATTTTTGGTTTATTCTTACTGTTGCAACTTTATACGATGGCCAGATAAAAGAATATGGCTTTTGGCATGGGCACAAGCTTGTCTTCACTTCTCCATAACAGTCTTCTGGATACTATGGGCCCCTACGATAGTGGTATGATTATCTAATAATTTAAATCAAACTATTTAATAGAAGTGAAAGTCACCTTGCTTAATATCTTAAGGACTTTGAAATTTACACTAATGTGATTCTTTTCTGTCCTCCATAATTTGAACAAAGAATTCTTTCTTCCATCCTAGTTAATTTAAAAATGGATTTTAAGTTTTGGACCTTAGATATCTCTTGAGACTAGTGAGTTTCAGTTTCTTCTCGAAATTTTATTAACATGATTTTAGGCCGATGGACGGGAAGTGCACCTAGGGTTGATATATCCATGTTTTATGGGCTCAAGAATGCTTGGAAGCACTGTATTTCCGTGGCTGAATAGTGGACTGTCATCCCTTAGAACTGAGGATTGCCTAGTATATGCATTCATCATGCTCGGGCTTGTATTATCTGTAACAGCTTATGATTATCAGGTGAAGATGTTTTTGGAAATTTAAGAAAGATAATCATCAGTCCTGCTTGATGCTAGTTGTTCAGAAGTTTAAAATTTTAATTGTTGATATGCAGGAAATTGGAGTTTTAACGACACTATTTTGCATATTTCACGCTGGTCTTGGCGTGGTTTTGCCTTCACTTGCCAGATTGAGGACCATGTAAATTAAACAAATGCTCTTTCTTTCTTTTAGCTGATTTGTCTCTCAATTTTTGTTACATGGATTTTTTATCTGATAGTTTTCCTGCTTTTACTTGTTTGTTCACAGGTATGTCCCTAATGCACTGCGTGGAGGGATGATAAGCCTTTCTCAAGCCCCTGCAAATGCAGCAATTCTGCTTTTTCTGGTGCAAGTGAGTTTCTCTTCCTAGGATCACTTTGACATAGAAAAGAAAACATACGGTTAAGCATCCCCGCCTGGCTCAGTAGTGTATTGACGTGGGCTACCTGTTGTTGAGAGCATCCATAGTAACAGAAGTTCTTATTTAACTGATAAATTCGACCATGTAGTTTTATTGATTAGTTATCCATCCCATCCTCTCACTTTTCTTGCTACTGTTTTATTGATGCAGGGAAAATACTACTATAACATTGGGAATTCAACAATCATAGCGTTTGCTGCGCTTGGGCTATTCACAGCAGCAGGTTGTATGCATGTCTTGAAGCGATGGGGGAAGCAACCGTATCACAACTGGCACAAATTGTGATTTTTTTTGCCTAATTATCACCAGATTATCGACTGAGTTGGAGAATACTTCATTTAGTCTCTGACTATCACAAATGAACGTGTTTAAAGAAGAATTTACGTGTCTCTGAATCCAGACTGAGGTATGCCACTATAGAAAAGTACGGGAAACATAAATATTAAAAAAAAAAGTGTGTAAGATTAGATTGATATGGTCTTGTATACTCCTTAGGGATCAACTGAATGACTGCAGGGCAGAAATCAATTATCGGTTCCTCATCTCTCAGTTCAATTCAGCTTGCCAAATCCATCTCAGCCTGTTAAATTTCAGGACAAGTCTGCTGGTTTGGAGAATAGCAAGGAATTTGCATGTTTACAATCAGATATTACAAATTTATTACCGGCATTGTTGCTGTTTAGGGATTTATAAACCGACGGTAGCTGAGAGCTGCAAATCTCCGCCTTCCTCATCCCGAAGGTCAATTTTTTCAATTTTTTGTGTAGGTTGTAACATTTGTGCCCTAAAGTGACATATTTAGCATTATACTTGCTGTTATTGCATGGAACTGAAACAGAATGAAATTGTCAAAATTCTTTACTTTTATTGCATGATACATCTTATTTGTACCGGCTACATTTCACATATCTGGCTTCAAATGAAACCTCCTTCACTTATTTAATTGAATTGCTCGATGAGATACAAGATGTCAACACGACGGAAAATTTCTCGAGACTCCAATCCATACCGAAACGAAGGCTCATACACGAAAGACCCCCCGCCGCTGGCTGAGGTTGTGCGGATAATGCTCGAGTGAGGATGAAAATTTGAGCATTATACAACAATGCTATTAGCAACTGCAACTAATCCTCTTGTTCTTGATCCCTGATCCACTTTGTAGCTACCCATTTTTCCCCTTTGATTACAGGACAGCTTCCGTGTAACGCTAACTGCAGAGGCATCAACCGAATTCCGAAATTAGAATGGACGAGTAAACAGTCATATATAGGAACGTTTAACGGTTACTGCTTCGGTGCACAATGCATTGTACGCCAACAAAATAAACGAATAAATTCTCTCAGT